ATATGGGGGGGGATTCCCTTGGCGCAATTTCCCATATCAACCTGTATCCCTGCTAGTTGGTTGCCCTGAGGAATCAGAAGCCGCTGCACGGCGGTCCCAAGCTCAGCCTGTGCAGTCTGGGACCCCGCTCCACGAAGCGATCGCCGTTGGGGGCGATGGACACCCCGTTCTCGTCCATGGTAGTGGGAATCTCGTATGACCTGTGGCTATGGTCGGTGGTTACATGGGAGTTAGCTACAGAGGGGGGGGGGGAGAGGCTTGCATTTGGAGGGCCAGCTGCCTTCGCAGTCAAACAAAAAGGTGGGGACTAGGAAAGAGTTGGGGTGGGGGGAAAGCTGGCACATCCCAGGTCTTTTTGTGTCTGCTCCCAAAGCCTTCCAAACCATCCCTGTCTTCGACCAGTCCCTGCTTCTTTGTTTCTCCAATCCGATCCTATAGCTGCCCCCCAGCCAGAGTGGTCCTTTCAGACTATCGGACAAATGACAACCATCCGGCCCCCTAAGCGCAGGTGGTTTACTCTTGGCATGCCAAACCCGTCAACCAAGAACGGTTCGTTAGACTGAGCTGTCGGCCCAGGGCCAATTGTACTCTCCTCCTCCTTGCCAAATCGAGCAGAGGACATCCTGGCGCCAATCACGGGCCCCTTCTTGCCTGCAAAGGCCCAGTTTTGAGCATAGTCCTATGCTGCATGTGCATGTCGCACCGCAGACTCACTTAAACCTACAAGGCCTCCCCCCGGCAAAAAACAACAGCCTATGCTCTTGGGGCCATGTTATCCTGGAGGAATGTACCAGAGCAGGGCCACCGAGTTGCCAAGCGGCAAGCGCCGTAAATGCAGGGGATTCACAAAAGCAGAGTTCATTCAAGCCCCCGTGGGTGCGTGCTTGCATGTTCAGGGGCCCGCTTTCAATCCTTGGTCTGCTAATTGACTTAGCGCATTAGCGCGTTCGAACTACGTAGGGTTTCATTGGCATATTAGGAATTTGTCTCAGCAGTTCCTTTTACGAGGGCTTTCGAACCAGGGCGTCATTGCTATATTATGATTTTCTTTACAACCAGGGAACCAGAGATAACCTTCCCCAAGCCAAAACCCAAAATCGATGTTGTCCTTTGGTTTTTCCTTCACTTATTCATAGGGGGGTGTTACCCTCCAAAAGTGATGATTCTCCACTAAACCCAGGGAGAAGCACCCCCTATTATTCAACTGAGGTTGACTTCAACATTACGACAGCCCCCAAAAAACAACGGGCACCCTGCCCACCGCTCACGCGCTCACCGCTCTTAGCGCGCCTGGACCAGGTGGACATCAGGGCCTGTCCAGTGCTTCTCGCCAAAAACACGGCGTCGCTTTTCGGTACGAAAATCGCGCAGGCGAACAAACAGGGGGGGGAAAAAGAAAGAAAAAGAAAGCAACACTTGCCGGTGCAAATCTCCCCCCAAAAAAACAACTCCTGAACGAGTCGAAAGATGTTTGCATCCACGCATGATTCCCTCAACCCAAGCAAAAGTTCAGGTAGCGTTCAAGGACTCAGGCGAGCAAACAGCTGATCAAGCTAAGCAAGGACTTGGCCCCACAAATGCAAACCAAGAACCCCAGCCCAACGTCACGCAAGCGAAAGTAGAGCGCAACACCAAGTCAAACTGCCTTCCAGCTAAAAGAGTGACACAAGGCAAAAAGGTTTGTCACGCTCTGTCTGGACATGCGCTACTGGGAAAGGGGCGCGGGGACGAAATCAAGCACAGCCTCTGTTGGACTTTGCAGCCTGACCTCCCGAAGCGCGAAGCGCTGGCCTCACCACGCCACTCTCAGGGTCTCAGAACAGCCCTCCTCGCCCACACCTTTTGAGCCAAAGGCGAGCGGAGCCTCAAATCAGCTTGCCATGCGGCAGTGCGCACCAGCCAAACCGGATTTTGTCACCCCTTCCAAGGGAATGAGTTGGTCATTGGATGAATATGGTCCCTTCCGGCTTTGGCCTAAGTGCACATGTCCCAAGCCTCACAGCTGTACTCACACAAACACGCATGAAACCCGCCATTTGACAGTTTCTCCAACTTGAGACCATCGTCCGTTCGAAACGCCACCGTACTGGCCCTTATCCAGCTTGTCGAGCTGTGTCATTCTCTGGGTAACGTTTTAGTCATCACGCTATTCAATCACTTCGTGAATCAAAACTCATGCCTCAGACAAACACGTTGGTTCAAGTCGAATGCATGATGGGAATGGATCATCGAGTTGCAAACAAACTGGATAAGACACCTTGGGTCAACACAGTATACCATACAGTTGCTTTACAATGCCACATTCGCAGTTTACCACTTTGAATCATCATACACTAAAATAGCTAGCACTTGCAATGTGCATCCAGCGTTTCGACTGTGATATCAGGGAGCCTCTGCCACCGGCGGGAAGGCTTCACACTTTTCCATAATTGCATAACGTAGCGCATGTTGTTTCCTGTCAGTTCGTGTTCCCATGAGAACGTCCGACTGTTTGAGCACTATCTTGAATGCAACAGACGGGAAAACACCCACATCATGGGTAAACACAATGCTCAGCAGCTTTTTCTGGTTCTCCTCCACCCCAGGCCTTCTGAACCAAGCTTCGGCCGTGACCTCTTCGAAATCGGATCGCAGAGAGCCTTCAAAGGGTGATAAGGCCGGCCATCCTTCGGCCTGTTTTGGGTGCCATGAATGGGAAACAAAAACACAACAAGCACAAGCAGGGATCTGCCCAGACTGCTTTCCATTGATGCCTTTGCTTCTCGAAAAGCTCCACTTCAAGCTCTTAAGCCAATACTACAGTAATACTGAAGTTTTACAGCTCTTGTCCAAACAGCAAAAAAGGACCGGAAATGACTGACCACTATTGGTTCAGGGGCACCTGTTCAGATCCGTCACCACACTAAACAAGCTGCCACATTGCAGTACTGCGTCTACTATAGGCTCGAACACGTCGGCAGGTCGACCAACCGAAGAAAGCGAAGCTGTGCCGCTCTCCCCGATTTGCCCTTTTCGCAGCTCGCGAAAAAAACCGACGCCCGGCCCCTGTGATCTGATCAACCGGGGGCTTAAGCGCTTCCCGCTTCCCGGGCCGCGCGGAGCCACTTCTTCAAGATGTCCGCAAATGGAATTCGAGGCACCGCGGTGCCCCGGGCAGTTGTCAGACTCCATGGATAAAACCAACACCCGATATCCTTTGCTTGCGCTCTCTTATGCATCCCCATATGGGTGTGTCTGTTTTCGAAGGTATCCCCACCTTTGTGGGCCCAAAGGAAACCCAAAAGGAATACAACAATTTGGGGGCACCCTGAAAAACGACGCACCATTATGCATGTTATGCGCGTGTCGACAACAAAATCCAGCAACATGTCGCAATGCTCAAATAATCGGTGGAAACACTGATAGGATTTCTAGTGTGTCGTCTGGAGCTGGTGAGGGTGACACCACCAAGCTCAAACATGGGCATCCTCCAATGGGCACACCTTCATGTGTATGACTGGCCCCCGTCTCACAGTGCCTTCAAAGGGGCAAGAAGCGACTTGTCCGCAAAAGCGGAGGCAAATTCAAGGAAGCATGAGGTTTCCGGGCCTTCGGGGTGCGAGGCGTCTGGAAAAAAGGGCTGAATTGGTTTGATAAGTGTTCATCACATAATTAAAGACAAGCACACGCCACCTGGACAATTTCGTGGGTGCATCGCGCATCAGCCTGAAGAGGGGGCGATGAACAAGCTACCTTCATCAAGGGTGCATTTGTTTTCATCCCCTGATGATGTTGCTGATCCGATTGCACATGCCAATAACCTGCTTCACTTGCTAGCTTCCCTCCCTTTAGTGTGAGTCAGCAAAGCTGAAAGTTAATCACCTAGAGGGCCCCTACCAGTCACCCAAAAAGTGAACGCCAAAGCAAATTGCCTGCACTGGCGGTGCTCATGAATCCTGTCGGTCATGTGTTTTCTCCCCTCGCTCTAGAACCGAGAAAGTGCAACAGGATGGAACACCCTGTGACATTCGCCCGGTGCACCGCTCGAGAAAAAAAGGTCTGAGCAATGCCCAAGTCTGTAACAGCACAAGTGCCGACGCAAATGCTCAATGGCCATTGGCCACGGCCATTCCCCTGCTGCAACCCCACAAGCAGCCCACGATGTGGAAATTGCTAGCTCGCCAAAATGGCAGTCCATCTCTCCCGCTCATCATTCCAAGACCGCATAGCAAATGGGGGGACCCATTTCAGGACAGATCTGAGGCAAAGCCATTGCTTTTGGCCCGCAGGTGCTCAAATACTTGAGAGGTTCGAACTTGCAAAACCAGTTCCCCAACCTCTTTTGCTGACCGAAAACGACTTAAATTCTGGCAGGGAAAAACCAAGGACGGGACGGCATTCTGGACTGTTTGTAAGGAACCCCACGAAAAATCACCAGGGCGCAGAGGCGTTGGGAACTCCAAGCGCAACAAAAATGGGGATCATACAGAAGGCTGTTGGGAAGCAAAGGCAATGTGGGTTTTGCGGCGGCTTTGGTTGCATGGCGTCAGGGATCTTCAAACAACCCCATCCCTGACGTTCGAAGGGCGCCATGCTGTGGGCTTGGAAAGCTGGCGGTCTGACTGGATGCTGCTTTGTGTCCATGCGTTCCAATCCTTTTTTAGCCTGAGGCTGGGGAAATTTGCAGCCCGGAGGCCGCCTAAGAGGGCTCGTCAGAAATAAGCAGCTCCCGAAGCACTCACAGCTAATAACTAAGGTCTGCGAATCCCAGTCCTCTAAAACATACAAACGAAGAAGATCTACTGACGGATGCAAAACAGCTGCTGGCCTGCAGCGTCCCTCTGACCAGGCTTCGCAGTGCAAAAGACCTCCGCCAAACCCGTTGAGGTGCGCAGAAGTCTTTGCCAACCTAGGCTGTAAGGCCATAATTGAAATTAAGCGACGGATTTTTGCCGCGGAAGAAGAGCAACTATTTGCAAAGCGCAGGGCGCTCGGCAAAATGATGCTTGCACATGTTCAGTTCAGCCGATCACACATCCTGACTCGAGATGCCACGAAATTGCTCTCAATAAAAAATGTGATGGGTATGCACTTGGGCAAATGCCAGCTCCCCCAAACCCCCTTTGCTTGTGGCACTTGGAGGCTTCCCCATCGCCGCCGCTGTTTGCCCGTGCGTGTGAGTATGGTCATGGACCCCTCGGAGGGGCTATGGCTATGGGGGGAGAGCTATGCCAAGGATAAGCCCTTAATAAGGCCGTATCTACGGGTTAAGACCGGGATTAGCCCCCGCTCCCCATAGCCTTCCAAGGGAGTCCACGACATGGGAAGCAGCGCAATATGCCTTTTACCCTCGCAGTGATGCTTGCAGGTTCCGGAAATGATGAAATGGCTGGCGCGCACCAGCGCATGCACAATCCCGCTACAGGGGTGTTTGCTGTTTGAGGCCAAGAGAGCGGACATGCCAAATGCTGCCAACTCATCAAGCAGCACTATTCAGCCTGCGTACCAACAAAAGCCAGGGAAGCACAAAACTTCAATGACCGACAGCACGCTGCTATTGAGTGAAGTGCGCTATGTTCCCTAATCATGGTTCTTGCGCGGATGGAAGGTCCAGTGGGCTAGCAAAGGGAGATCTGACTGCGACTGTTGTAGTTGTTTGTTCTAGATACGGCAAGCAATATTGCTGCTTACTTGCCCGGTGGCAATGGCAAAACACAAGAGATCCGATTTGGGGCTGGTTCACTGGAAAGAACGAGCACCCTGGTCTGGGTAGTTGATTCGAAGGGGACACCCCTCCAACGAAAGCAAAAAAGGCACCATTGGGTGTCTGGGACTGAATCTCGACACAGCAAAAACGATTCGAGTGTGGCAAGCACACGCATACCGCTTGCCGCGCCAGCCCAACACCATGCTTTCTGCAAAGCGCTGAGAGCACCTAAAAAATTCAAACGGAATGGAACCGCTCACTGCTGGCCAGCTCGCCGGTGATTTTTGAGGGTACTTGTTTTGGCTCTTTGAGAGGGACATCAAAAGATCTTGGGGTTGACGTCAAGACATGGCGGTCGTTCTGCAAATTGGCCTGCACCCGGAGGGGTCCTGTCATGCCTGAGGCTTTGCCAGCTGAGTCCCCCTTTGCGCTACGAACTGCAAAAGGTTGGATTTTCCCAGCTCAAAACTTGTGTTGGCTTCAGCCACCCCTCAACAAGACAGGAAAGCACACATAGCCAAGAGTTATTGCAAGCTTGTTGGATTTGGAACCTATTCCTCTCCTACTCACAGTTTGAAAGTTCGATTGTTCCATTTTGAATGAGTTTCGTTGAGAACAAACGTTGAGAAGACTGTCGAATGCCTGCTTGCCACAGCTACCGGAATGCTGGCACAGCCACAAGCAATGGCGCTCGGGTGAGGAATTGGAGACGCGTCAGGGCAGGGCGCACTTTCAACTAGAGCATTGGGTGTCTCTCCCGAACATGGTGGGGGGAGGGAAGGATAGTTTCGCGTGTCTTCAAGAACACCTACGTCAAGAACAAACATGTATATATATATATATATGTTTATATATACATACGTAAACATATATCTATATAATTATATTAACGTCTTTGATGTGAAGATACGCAGAACTAACTATTTGTATTTATGCATCACAAATGAATATGCACACATCTTTGACCCTGCAGGGTGGGTAATGCCCACATGCTGCCAGGGCTGCCTCTCATCGCGAAGTACATGTCCGCAACACCCCTTGACCTTCAAGGGCAAAGAGTCGAAAGAGAAGGAACATTATAGACATCTTATATTACTTCCCAACCTTCCAAGTTACTTTTGGTTGGGAAATAAGATGTCACATGCTATCTCTTTATGACCCGCCATGACATAAGGAATGGAGAGGCGGGACAAAAGAGAAAGAGAAGTGAATGGGAAAGCGGCCAACAGGAAATAGAGCCGCTTTCTCCCCGTCGCAACATCCAAAAGGGACGGGAACCATTAGAAGCGAGAGAGCGAGCGGAGATTGAATGAATGCTGTCCTTTCGTCCATCAATCTCAGAGATGAAAAGTGAGGATATGAGGTTTACCCGGTGACGAGTCCTTCCATCTCTCCACTATCCACTTCTCTCCACTTTGTTCGTGAGTGTCTGTGGACGAAGGAATCTCATGGACAAGCGAAAGAAGAGAGCGAGAGCAGAGAGATGACAGAGGGAACCAACTCACTCACTCTCCCACCGCTGTTTGCCACAAAAACAAAAAAGACCCGCACAGGTCGGTAAAAACAATTTATGCTCTGCTTGCTCTGCGCCCTGCCCTGAGCTTTCTGCACCCCCCATGCCAAGGCCAAATATGTCTCGCCAAGCCTTGCCCGGCCCTGTGGTGACAAGCTCTCTGCGCAACCCCTGCAGAAATTCCCATCTGCAATCTATGACAGCTGAAATCGCACACCAACTCGCAATGCACCCATGCAAACTTTCAGAAGCATGACAAGCATACCCAACTGAAAGAAAGTGCCCCCCCCAAATGGCGTAGAACCTGTCACTGAAGGTAATTCAGGTAGAGTTTTGCTTCGAGTCCACTTGGAAACGAAACACTGGCCTCACCATTACTTTGCGCAAACTCACTCCAAAGTGATATGCGATGAAAGGACCTGAGTATCTGAGCTGGACACAGACTGTGGTCCCAAACATGCCCAACACCCCCTGGAAAAGTCAACGTATGCACCCACAACCACCCGTTTCAAGTTTCTGGACCCCTTCGCCGAAAGCTAAAGCAGAAGGTGACGCACTGCTCGCATAGGTGTCCTTTTAGGGGAAATAGATGGCCCTGGTAGATGATTAAACCACCGGGTAAACCAGGGCCATCTATTTTTCTAACGAAACAACCAAAAAGGACACCTATGGACTGCTCGTCTTCTTTTGCCTCGCGCCGTCAGCGCAGCTGCAGAAGAGGAGGCGGCCCCGCACTGTGGTTTAGCTCGTTGTTGACTGGCCGCATCTCCCACCTCGATGGCCAGGCGTTTAGTGGCCTTTGAGCAGCCCCTGATTTGGGAGTTGAAAAAAGGGGAGGAAAACACATCCATTTGAAGAATGCCTTTCTGAGCTCATGATGCTGCAATGTGAACCCGGGCCGGGGTGAAGACTGACATAAATACAAATGCATTGAATTCACATTATATATTTGTAGAGAGAGATCTCGTCTGCTTGCTTGTTGCATTCATACAAACAAAACTATATGCATATTGTAACAAATATCCATCTATCTATCTATCAGTCTGTCTGTCTGTCTGCCTGCCTGCCTGCCAGCCTGTCTGTTTGTCTATCTATCTATCTATCTATATGTATATGTTGTTCATCTATTTGTCATGTATTCATTTGTGCAGTTGTGGCTGGCGGATTGTGGCCGAGTCTCTTTGCCAAAGAGGTGACTGCTTGTGACCATGAACCATGCTGGCCCTTCATTCGACACCTGGCCCTGTCAAAAGCCATCCCCCAAAAGAATCAGCCAGCAACACCCACAAAATGAAGCAGCCCACCCATGTCAGCATCTGAAAGCACAGGCCCGCCCCTTCCAGGCTTTTACCTGCGCATGGAACAAGGGGGACGTGAGGAACCTCCGTTGATTTTGGGGTCGGCTTGAGCAGGTGTCCAGAGACTTCTTCAGAGCGGGCCCCTGGCTGATCGACATCTGGCGATTGCCTCCGATCTCCTCACGTGCCATCTGTTGTGGTTTAGATGTATTGCCCAGCAACGCTAGATGCAATTACGAAGTGCCCAAGCGGGCCACTTCTCATCCCCGGAGAAAAAAAGAACACCGTGATTGGCGAGCTCAGATCGAAGAATTGAGCAGCGTGAGTTTGGCAAATCTCATTGGGTTGCTTGTTTCAGACCCTTCCTTTGAACCAACCGAGTTCGAGACATGATCTGAAGCAACACCATGCTCGAGTGCTGGACCGTTTGCTGGGCTCGCCCCTCATGAGCGGCTCATAGCATATGTTCCAATGGTCTCTAGGTGTGAATTGAGTGGCCTGGAAAGTGCAAATCACAACCCATTGTCTTTGTTTATGGGGGGGGTTCAGCTGTGATATGACATGAGCTATCTATTGATTACATAAGAGTATATGGAGGGGGTCTGCTGTGATATTAGCAATGCTTAGGTTGTATGATGCACATATACTTAAAATGTATGGTATATAGATGTACACATTGGGGATCCGCTTTGTTGTTATCATTATAGCGACAGACTTCAAGTTAGAACATCGACAATTCACCAAACGTGCCTTAGAACGTAAAACCTGTGGGTAGTGAAACAAAAATGACGAGTAGCAGATAGAACATCCAGGAAAACAAATGCAAACATGTCGCCGTATTTCGACTTAGAACATCGCGCGAGCCACATGTTTGCATCCCTGGCCAGTTGTGGCATTCAGAGTTAGAACATTGGGGGGGATGTATGGACATTGGCGGGCAGCAAAATTTAACCATATTCACTCCAGTTAGAACATACAATTCTAAAGCTGGAAGTTACAGCCTTGCCCAAAACGAGAAGTCTTCCTGCGGTCCTCTCCCTTAGCCCTCCTCCCTCCAAAGCTTCAAGCCCATAACTCTGGGAGAAGAACACATGCTTGTTGAATAATGATGTTTAGCTTAAGGCGCGGGGATTTCAGTTGCATCTGTGTTGTTTAGAGGTCAGCCAGCTTCCTATTCCTTTCTAGAGCGGCAGCATTCATGGGGAGGCGAACCGGGAAAGATCGGCCACTTTCAGCAAGGGGGTTGTTTAGGGAGGACTACTCTTGTTTATATCGAATTGAAATAGTATACTATTGTTCTTATTTTCATTACTCTTGTTGTTGTATTATTGTAAGGAGGGGCTACTGAGCACAGCGTTAACTTGGACAGCATGCGCACTTCTTCACCGGTCAGTGCGGAGTTTCCCAAGGGGAAAGACTCCGAAACCAGCGGAATCCCGTCAGGAACCTTCAAGCGCGGGTCTAGCTCCCTGTCGGGGAAACAGCGCGCTTTTCACAACCCGTCTAGACAGCTTGGATGC